CATTCAGGCACACTACAAAACTTCTTTAAATAACAAGAACGTGTGAATATGTGTAATTCTTAATAAAAAACACTTATGTAATAATTAGTACTTTTGCATCGCCTCGTGATATCTTTGGCAATGCGAGGATTATTGAATCACCCCACTTTACATTTGGGTACACAGTAGAACTATTTCAATTATCAATATTACTTTTATATATACTTATAGTATAATACTTACTCAACTTCTATATATACAAAAACATGTACTGTAGATTATTTTGTATAAACATAATTATGTCTGTGCTCGTTGGTAATTGTATCAATCGTGCTTGTAATAAAGGGCCCTGATTTGAAAATAATCTGTCTACAGAAACAAATTGTTCAGTGTGTGTAAATCTAAGATACATTAGTTTTATATCTAAAATAGTTGAGGCCAGTTCATTGCACGTATTTAAATATATTTGATCAAGGAAAATCCGACCTTTTTCCCGACATATTGAAAAATGTATTCTACACATTCACCCCCCCCCCCCTTTTCACTTTCTTTAAATGATGTAAGATCCGTAACAAGAATGTATGTTTATGTAATAAATTTGATGTAATGAAGCCACATTCATGAACATATTTACTACATGTACTGACAACAGTTAGTTCGATTTCTGAAACGTTTTATTTGCTGACTACATTGTCTAATCAGGCAAATACCAGTGTCATATCCACCTTCGATATTTTCCCTGACCAAAAATGCTGATCGGCAGGGACCACGTGTGCTCAAGTGCTAGTGACAATGTGTTTACCGTTGAGTTACAAATGGAGTTATTTCTTCTGTGATGCATATTTCAATAAAAGGAAAATGGGAAGTAATTCTTTCGACATGTGCACATCCCTGTAGCGATAGCAGTATTTCAGACAGATGAGTTTAAAGCGTTCGACGCGTTTTCTCTGTATGTATGCATGTATTACTTGAATGCGTAAGTTGCATAGGATGTGCTTATACTGTAGCATGCATAAAGATCAACAGTACAGTGTTATTTGGAAAAAAAAATGCATGTGGTAGCCTTTTCTTCTTTATTGATCAAATAAATATGTATATCAAACATGCATTTGCCGTTTTGATTTTTATGCATTGCATCTATGTTATTCAAAATTTATATACTCTTTTCCAGTTTTCAATAAAATTCCTATATTGTAGTTTGTAGGATTGTTAGATTTATTGCATGAACCAAAACTGCTTTATCGGAGATGTGTGCAGGCCTACATGTTTTCGGTCAGTCCAAGGCGTGTTCCAAAACTTTGCTATCGGAGATGTGTGCATGTCGACAGCCAGGCTAGAAAATCACTCAAGTGTAAAAAAGGCATCAGGGTTTATATAGCCGGTAAAATAAGCGAGCGAATCTGAAAGAAATATGGCGGAAAAGGGAGTATGGGAATGAAATAAGTCGAACAAGGATGAAAATATCACATATTTAAGAGTTCATGTCAGCTTTAACAAACAATGGTACTGAAAACGTTAATAAGGAGGTAGCAGAAACACTCAAAGAATCATATTACTACTTCTTATTACAATTCACAGGGAAACGGGAAGGTAAAAAGGTTTCATCGAACTCTGTATGATGTAATGGCTAAAAAGGTTCAAGAAGACACACAAACTTGGGATCTTTATCTTAACCAAACACTAGCTGCCATTAGGTTTCACACCAATGAATCAACTAAATACTCTCCTTTTTTATCTTATGTATAACAGAGATGTAGTTTTACCATTAGAATTATATTGAAACCCAGAGGGATGTATTTGCGGGGGGAGGGGGGATCAATACAAAATTGCAATTCAACAGCAACATAAGGCATTCGTAAATGTTTACAGAAATTTGAAAATGGCAAACATAAACAGAAATTACAGGCCAATAAAGAGAGTAAAGAGGAAAATTTTCAAACAAGTGACCCAGTTTATTTGAAAAACAATTGTTGGACTGGTAAGTTAGATAAAAAATGGATGCCCTATTACCGCATTGTTGATCAGACGGGTCCCGTAAGCTTTGTTGTTAAAAATTAGTTAAATACCACCATTAAAGTTCACGGAAGGCACCTTCATCCTGCTCGAATTAAAGAGTGGAAAATTCCACAAAATTTTGGAGAACACACCTTAAGACAAACTCAGAATGTAGTACCCCCAGAACATGAGTCTGATAGAGAAAATTCTGAACAGGAAGTAGAACAACAGCCTTACAAAGACTGATAAATCGAAAACGAGTCGAACGCGAAAATTCCTCTGATGAGGACGATCTTCCGTTACAGGTGGTAAGGAGGAAAATTCGTGCTCGTGCTTTAAACAATCGCGAAACAGACAATAATGAAAATTCAAACGAGATAAATAATGACCATCTAATAACACCTAACGCTAATAACTGCTGTAAAGATACGGAAATGGAATATGATTCTGACTCTTCTATTGATAACAATTATCAATACTCTGATTCTGATTCTGAAAACGAAGAATATGGGTTAGATATATATCCTACTATGAGTGATTCACCAGAGCAGTTAATTGAAGTAGAACAAGAAATGGAAGTTGGTATAAATATTAAATGTAATAACCACAAGTTAAAAAGAGGCTTCTGTAGTAGTTGTATGAAACCGCCTGTAATGCCTAGGAAACAGGTAAAAGAAACAAATAAAGAGTGTTCGCAAAGTATAGATCTTAGTTATAAACCTAAGGTAAAACCAAGGAAGTCACGGAAAAATAATGTCTAGTGAGAATGTATTAGGGGAAAATAATTACGTCACAGAACAATTTTTCAAGATTATTGGGAAATTACTTCCAGTTTAAGTCAGGTATATTTTCGATAACGAAATAAACTGTGCTAAGAGTTTCCTTAACTTTGGAAAATTGATATAAGAATTACATCAAAATCTTAAAGTGGCTCGGGAAGATTAACATAAAGAGTTAGAATATGATTAAAGGCTCTGCAAGTTGATACGGGTGGTTAAGGAATGGAAGAATTCCAAACTGTCTAAAAACTGTCAAAAAAAACATAAGTATATATGTGTGGCAGGTCATGCAATCAATAACTAATGCTTATAAGGAGATACAAACTATGAAAAATGCATAAAGATAGTTGTTGTATTTTTATACAGTAGGGGGCTATAAAATAAAAAAAAAAATCAACACCCATAACTCTGTGTTCATTTTTTTTAAATATAGATGATAAGCAACCCTGCAGGATATTTACAGTGGATATTCTTCGCTTTCTATCGTTTACGGTAGCTCAGTCGGTAGAGCGCTCGCTCCGTGATCGGGAGGTCGTGAGTTCGAATCTCGGCCGCAACTGACCTAAGTCGAAAAAAATGGGTAGCAACTGTTCCTTCGCCATGCGCTCGGTACTTTCAAGTGAAAGTTGCGGGTCCTTTGGATGAGACCTTAAAAACCGAGGCCCCGTGTCACGACAGGCGTTGGCACGATAAAGATCCCTCACTGCTCAATGGCCCTGAGTGCCGAGTAAAGGTCAAAATTTGAAGCCCTTCACTGGTATATGGTGACGTCTCTATATAAGTGAACAATTCTCGAATGGGACGTAAAACAACATACATACAATCAATCAATCAATCAATCTTCGCTTTCAACCTTCCCTTTGTTCCAAAACATGAAATTATAAACTTTTGGAAAGTTTATCAGGGATGCACAAAAGACATATGCCAAGAAATTAAAGACAGTAGGGGATGTCAGAAGCGGCATCTACATGATATAATGATGGGACCTAACCAAAATATCAATATGAAAGAATCTACCTATAGGAGTTCCATCGTTAAATGGATACAACTATATAACACTCAGCGACACAGTTTTAAGATCCGAGGGTTTTCTGAGCATGATGCTAGAATTTTGACTGTTCCTGCTATGGACACTTATCCCGTCAGGAACCGTCTCAATGAGAATCTTAAATGCGTCAGTAATAAATGGAAAGTTAGGCGGAGAGATATGTTTCGAATGTTTACTTTCATTACCTTTGTTCTTTTATTATTTCTGTCCTAGCTTTGTGTGCTCTATACCAAAAATAACTGAAAATTGAAATTGAGTACTCCTTATCATTGTATATATTATCAGTTATACACCTCTGTTTTTCAGTATAAAACCTATGCATCTTCATCAGCTATTTGTAAATATTCAAAAACAGTCAAGAAAAATGTTCAATTACTATTTAATAATGATAATTAAAAAAATAAAAAAAATGCTTCGTTGTCTTTTTATACAGTTTTGCCTTGCACAAACTTACTGGAAGTTGATCATCTTGTAATTGTCATAACTATTTGTGTATAAACGACTTCTTGGAATTACATATAACAATTATGAAAAAGGGTTAAAATGTTATCCAGCGTAATGTTTTACTTTATTGAATGTAGGATCACATTCAGCAAAATCAAATCGAAACGTTAAAATCTTGGGTGTAAAGCAATTCATGGGTCTTTGATACTTCCACCTTTTTATGATAAGGAGAGTAAACTTTCAACTTTTACCATCTATTTTTAATGATTTTGTTTAAAACAAACTTCACTTTGGAAAAATTGATTTAAAAAATGTTTCTCTCCAAGAAAAGTTAAATACATATCAAAGAATTGTCTTTGTTTTCATAAATAATGTTGAGGCTATGCCTACAGAAAAATGGTTTTAAATGTCTTGGTTCAATTAACCTTCATTTTGTTTTTATTATATTTCCTATGTTTTGTGTTATTGGTTGAAAAAAGGATAATGAATTTCTATCAAAAATTTAAAAATATGTGGTCATCTAAGATACTTGGTAGAGAGAGTTCTGTGTCTAAACCACCTGCAGAGACTATTCCAGAGCGGACAGACATAGACGCATTGATGGAGGAAGTTATGTTGGTTAAACAATATGAAGGCGAAATATACCAGAAGAATCAGTCAAAAATAAATCCAGAAGCTAGGGATACACTGATGACTTCTAATTGGAAAGGCGATAACACCGCCTGGAGTGGTGATAATTGCACTCCGTCATCTACTTAATCATCAGGACTGTACCCTTTGCGTGAACCTGAAAAGTAACATGGTGAACTAAGTTAATCATACTTTATGGAATATAACTTATACCTAAGTGTGGAATAAGAACATTGATTCCAAAGCGAACAATATTGGTGAAGAGTAGTGAAGCGTAGTAAAAACATATATCCATGCGTAGATAGTGAAGTAAACATATATTGGACACATATATTGGACCCATATAATCAATGTTACCATTTGTAATATTATATTTTGGACTTAACATCGGGAACAAGAAGAGGATGTCCGTGAACTTCTCATGCTATTCGATTATCTTTATATGTGAGATAAACAATAAATGAACTGTGACTACCGTAAGTTAAAATAATTTTCATAGACTGAAGACTTCGTCTAATAAAAAGTGAACAGTTTCGTGGACCAATGCCGATCTTGTGAACGAACTGTGAACCGTGACTAAGTTAACAAACTCATTCAGAGAATTTGTGTCTCCCGCTTAGGGAATAAAGAAGAGCATTCGCAGTTCGGGGGGGGGGGGGGGGGGTCGGACCCCCCCCCCCTTGATTTGTAGACTTGTTAAATGTATACATGTATATTGAAGCAAATAAAAATGCCAGTATGGATATAAATATTTGATTGCTTATTATTTAATATGTGTATAGAAGATTCTTTTTGTATGGAATATTTATCACACTGTAATAATGATTTTATGAGTTTGTACAAGCCAGACGTCATACCTTTTTCATTTCATATGGTGAATACTATCATTTATATAGTAAATCCAGAACAAAAATTCAAAAAAAAAAAAAAAAAAAAAAAAAAAAAAAAATCGACCGGGATTTGAACCCAGGGCCTCTCACATGCTAAGCGAGGGTCATACCCCTAGACCACGGATGCGCTTAATTATACAGTAAATTAAATGCAAACATTAGGTCACATATAATGTTTATATTCACGTTCGATATTGTCAAAATTTTGCACAATACATGGTTTCTAATTTAGCCTTTATTAAACAGTTCTAATATATGTAATTAGAATATAAAGTCCGCCGACAACCTGTATTATACGTAATAACTCTCCATATGCCCCTATGCTAAAAATATTGCCAAGCGACTTTTAATACAATAATTAAAAAAAAAAACGGGGCGGGACACTTTGAGAGGGGCGAGAGAGGCCATAGGGAGGTATGGTATAAAATTTCATTGCAAAAGCTCAAAAGCTTCTTGAGATATCGCCCGGAAACGAAAGTGTTACACACAGACGGAATGTATGAATTTACGACCTTGAACTTTGACCTCAAAATTAATAGGGTTCTTTTTTAGGCCATAGGGAGTTGCTATGCAAATTTTCATTGCGAAAGCTCAAAGGGTTCTCGGGATATCGCGCGGATACGAAAGCGTTACAGACAGACAGAAATACAGACAGTTGGACGGACGGACGGACAGACGGACGGATAGACAGACAGACCCAAATTAATATCCCATACTTTCAGTGAAAGCGGGGGACAAAAATCATGTTCAGGGGAACTGAGAAATTTTCATTGGGAATTTTCTAATTGCATGGGGACGAATGTAAACCTATAGTGTTTAGAATGGACATTTTATCTGAACATTTTGTCCCCCGCTTTCACTGAAAGTGGGGGATATTAATTTGGGTCTGTCCGTCCGTCCGTCTGTCCGTCCGTCCGTCTGTATTTCTGTCTGTCTGTGACGACTTCGTTTCCGCACGATATCTCGAGAACCCTTTAAACTTTTGCAATGAAATTTTGCATAGCAACTCCCTATGGCCTAAAGAAGAACTCTATTGATTTTGAGGTCAAGAGGTCCATTTCTTAGTATGTGTCTCATGTAAGCTTTGGTCAGTTCTAAAACAAGTTAATGAAGGTTACATAGGAGGCTTAAGAAAATAACCCATAAGTACAAAAAAGTGATTATATATCTATAAGCAGATGAGCTTGTCAGATGGTAAAAGATTTTCTTTGTCAGAGTTATTGCCCTTTACACATCTCCATTAACAAAATTATTATGAGAAAATCTAAAATACTCTATAATTATAATATTTATGGGCATCGTGTAATAGTTATTGATATTGAGCTGAGAAAATATATTATTTAAACTAAAAAAAGGTGTCTTATGGGTCATTGGAACTTCATTTTATAATTTTGAACAAAAATTGCTCACAAAATTAAAAGCTTTGCAGTTTTGCGAAGTGTGAATATTAGAGGCGTTTTGTCATTGGACAGTTATCTGTGATGTCAGCAAGTCTGACTTAAAGATTCTGGCGATTGTGACTTCCTTTCAATTTGGTTGCCAAGAGGTTAAGAAAAATGAAGTACTACGTGGAATCTCTAATGATGCAAATGTTTTGCAGGAAAACGGAATTCATTCTTCTTTCTTTCGATTGTTCTTTGGCATCTATTGACTCTCTTTTGGAATACTCTTTTGGAATACTCTTTGGAGTACACTTTGGACTCTAATTTATCGGACCTCACCTTAATGATTACTTTAGGAGTTTTAGTTCTATGCTCTTCTTAAATATTTTGGACGGATCTTAAAAACTTTTGCTACACCCAGTGTATTGGTTTATTCTGATGAGATTTCAGAAACTATCATTTAAAAATCTATACGATCACGGTGGATTAATAAACTTTAAAAAAAACTTACAAACTTTATTATTGCTTACAAACCGTAACAAATATATTATATTGAATGTAAAACATTCAAATTATTAGTCTTAATTTATATTTGACATACTCACACACATACTGTTTAACGAATTTAGTTTTGCAAAGATTTTGTAAAAAAAGAAAACTATATATTTTTTCTCTAAAAGAGAAGGAATGAACTAATGTAATGTATCCTCATTAAATATTACTGTATGTGACGTCATTTACGGTTACTAGGAACGTCTGGTTTTTCTAATTTTGTTAAACTTATGCAAGAAATATTCAAGAAATGCTTATGAGACTAAAGCCGTGTAGTAGTCTTCTCATCTTTGGAAGTTGGAAGTTCTACGCTGCATCCAGGTATTATTTTGCGGCCTGAAGTAACTGCAAAATACAAATATATTGTTTCAACCACAAATTAAAAACTCTCTTGAGCAAACTTCAGAAGTGTGTCCATCATCCGTAAAATCTTGGATATAGGCTTAAAAATGTTTGAGAAGGTAGTCTACAGACAGAAGGCCGGATATATGGAATGCGGAATAAATTTTTATCGGAATACTTAATTTGAGCCTGATATAAATATATAGTCTTGACAGAGCTGTATATAAATATTCTAGCTCAATACAAAACTTATCTTTGAAATCAAAGAATCAAAGTATTTTTTCATACCTAATTTACTTGGACTGGCAAGATCAATGTCTAAAATTGTAGTAGAACCAAACGCGTATGTTTCTGTACTAGCAGGGCTGCTCTGAAATAGTTTTACAAAAAAATTAACAGTTATATCTAACGCACAATGTAGAATTCCAAAAATATTTAGTCACAAATATTCCTGAAGAAACATATATTTTTTTTTAATTTGAAGTAAATGTAGTCAGATGATAGTTTAACACTTAAACTTTTTAAGAGACAAAATGATTAAAATTTTACTGCAATCTCTTGAAGAAAGATTAATATGTTTTAATTTTTTCCAAAATTTGAAATTTATTTCTTTAATTATTTTAACCATCTTTAAACAAAACAGGAGTCTCACCCCTTGGACTCTTGGAATGATGCACATAATAATTGCACCTATAATAGGTGGAACACCGGCTACCACATACGCTATTTTATACGTGTGAAGATGACCGTATAGCAAACCTGTAGATAAAATATATTTTCTCAGTTCCCTTGGTGGCTCTATAGAACTGACGAATGTTTAAAATGATAATTCTGAAACAGGCCAAAAACTAATAAATGAAAGTTGAAATCGCCGATGAAATATCTATTACAATAGATAACATCCAATATCAGAGAATAAATTCAGTGGAGAATTATCCATTCCCTAATGAAATATTTTCTTTCTTTTTTTTTTTTTAAAATGTGTCAAAATCAGTAAACATAAAAGTTTTTTAACACGTATATCAGCATGTTCATTTCACTAAATATACATTAGAAGTATAAAAATTCTCACCCGCCATTGGAGGCCCAACAGCAAATGGAATGGAAACTCCACACAGTAAGAAGCTAGTGGCTTGTGATGCATCAGAGGGACCCACAATGTCAAACACAGTATGATCTACCGAACACATAATGATGCCATCACAAACCCCCAGAAGGAGACAAATAATTATCAGTCCTTCAAAGCTCTCTGAAAAAGGAATAGATACAGTAAGTACACCGTTCAATACAAAAGCGCATTGCTGCATGTAGATGTTGTTGACACATTTAAAGTCTGCTATCTTTTTGAAGATGACACTTCCCAAACCGGATGTAATCTGTAGGCAGGTGATCAAAATAAATGCATAACTACCCGGAAAGGCGTCTTGAGTATGTTTGACCTAAAACAGAGTAAAAGAACATTAATGCAAAAAAAAAAAAAAAAAAAAAAAAAAAGGAAAAGAAATTGTACAATGTGTTGATAATTAATAACATAATGTGTCTGTTACATAGATAATCTTATGCATTATTACAAGGTACATGTAGTAAGAGAAATATGAAGATTTCTTCACCTATGGGGTTCATCATTCATAAACCAGTGGTGCTGTTTATCTTGTGATTTAATCATGTCCTACTTCAGTATTAAATAATTTATCAACTTGTCAGATTCAAGTGCCCGTAAAAGATGGAACAGTCTATAACATTACACAGTTTGGAACATTAGATTTTTGTTTAACTCAATTGCTTCTTTCACTGATATGACTTTTTTATCGAGGTATAATAAAAATACATATGCTTACTAAATGTACAATTGGTACAGAGTAACCGAACAAGGCAAAAATAAATCCGAGAAACCAAACAAGATAGGTGCGATTTTTGAAAATTTTCCAATTCAGTCTATGTTTGGTCGAACAACTGCATCTGTTGACAAAGTGCGTTTCTTTATACAAAAGTAATGCTGGGTTTTCAGATTTTCTGTGAAACAATGGTTTCCATGTCAAACTACACAATAGAAGCATGCAATATAATCCACCAAGGATTATAAATGTGTATTTGATGCCCAGAGATTCTAAGATAAACGGAAGAACAATTGATAAGCAAACTGTGCAAATTGAACTTCCCATTGATACGATCCCAATCGCAATGCCCATATGCTCTTTAAAGTAGTGTTCAAGAATGACGATGGAGGTAAAAGAAATTAATCCCCCACCGACTCCAAGTATGAGGCCAAACGTTAGATACAGAAGTTCCAATTGTTGCATGAAAGCACTGGAAAACAGTCCAATCACGCCTAATGCTGCTCCAAAAAATGCTGTTAGCCTGATACCATATTGTTCACTCCATGATCTTGCAAAAACGGTTATCAAAGAGGTTACAATTGTACAAGTAGAACCAATCCAAGCTGAAAAAAGCATATAATAAAGAGATATGAAATAAGCATCAGTCCTAAAGATCAAATGGAGAGTAAAAATTATTGGCATGTTGTGGGCTTTGCATTTACTTTGAAAAATTTTCCTTCGGCAACAACATAACCTACAGAACTTCAGATGTTCTCCAGCTGTAGCCATTTCAGTTACAGGGGTAATTCATATTTTGAATTTTGATACAAGAAGTGTTTTGTTCAATATATTAAACTGAATTCAAAGTCTTGCAGATCTCTTGAAAGAAATATTCAAATCTCGTTACAAATAACAAATAAAAATGATATACTTTTGGACACTGCCGTGCACGATCGCCGTAGAAGTGTAAGGTATTTAAAGGAAAGAAAAATATATTTACACGTTTTAAAAAAAATAAAAGGATCATCACTTGTATATTCCTCGAGAAGGTACACATAAAGTATTCCAAAAATATTCAGAATGCTTAAAGCTGTTCCATTTGCCATGAGCGACGTGAAACATACAATCCAGCCCCAACCCCCGTCCGGTGGGACAAATTCCTTCTTACGGCATTTTGTCCTAGGAGTTTGGTCTTTATCAATGTTTGCACTGTCTTTGGTCATCTTTAATTGGTTTTCTGCAAGCATGTAAAATTGTGAAATTCTTGATATAATATCAATACTTTTGTAGATGGACGTATTTTTATTAAAAGTGGTAATTCATCGAGATTATTTATATATGTATCCTGAATCAAGTTAAAATAATCGAAATTTAATCAAAATAATCATTCTTCTTGGGCAAAGTGAAGAAATGTGCGCTTACAAATTTAGTAAGGATATTTTTAAAGCCTATTTTTTAATTAAAAAGATTTCTATTCTGCAAATGAATTGCATGTTTTGTACATCATTTTCAGCCCATGCCCATACTTAATGTTTACAGAAAAAAAATTCCCTGGAAATTCGTCATTACCAGGTGACATAAAAAGTTAAAAATACATTTTGTGAAAGAAGGAAAAATTTTTCTGTAGCCCATTTAAACATTTCCTAGGTCTATACCTGTTCAGTTTTTCCAGGTGCGAAACATTATAGAACGTTGGAAAAAGAAACCCCTCCCCCTTTTGACGTCATTTTCAAGCACCTAGTTGTTTGGACACTCCATGAAAGAATTACGATAACATTTCATAGAACTTACAGAATGGGGTAAAAATTGCATTTTGTACGGAACAATTGTGTCCTACCGCATTCTTGAATTAACGGGATTTTTTTAACGACAAATGCTCATATCGAGAGAGTTTTTCTCAGTTACAATCAGGTAGAAAAAAACGTCATATTTGAGGTTGCGCTGCCTGAACATACCACTGGTTTCAAAAACATTAACAATTTATTAAAAGATAAAACTAATGATTTATGGTTTATTCTATAGATAGAAAAGATGATGCTAACTAAACTCGTTAAAATTCATTGATGTACCTAACGCGGTTTTAATTTTATGGCGCTAGTCCACGAACTTTTTGATAACCCCTCGTAAAATTATTTAATTTTGAATTCATCAAATTTTCTATGACAAAGCATTGCTACTTCTGCAATTTTGAAAATGGCTAACGCAATCCGAGATACATGTATTTCTTAAGTAAATACATTTTGAATGGATAAAGATACGTTTGGACAAGTCCTGCCCATGAAAGTAAACAAAATCGAACTTTGGTGTAGCCACCCTGCATTTTTAAGACGTTTTACATTTATTTATTTTGTTACATTGTGGTGATTTTTTTTTCTAGAAACTAAACGTCTTTCAGTCTTACAAAATTAGATGAAAATCAATTAGTTTAAGTTCTTCTTGAGGTACCCCCCCCCCCCATTAATCCGCCGGAATGTTTATATAAAACTCAATAAAAATTACTGCTGTACCATTTGATGCTACATGTTTTCTTCATAGCATTTGAAACTGTTAAATTTTGATTGGAAATTGTTCTTTCGTTTCTCTAATTCGTCTGTTAGCACTGTTATTTTAGTAGTTCAGAAAGTTTCAGAAACACTTTTATATATTTTTTTGAACGAACCGGGGGAATTTGAACACGAGTTGGCATTTCAACTGATTTTTTTAAAAAAAACATTCATTTTTTGCAAAGGCATATACATGTATGCAGCAGTGGATTTATTCAGAAGTAGTATCATCTACATTTTGTCAGGAACTATATTATTTTCTGATGTTTTTTTTTTCTTCTGAGAGTAAACATGTTACTGCAAAAGAAATTGTTAGAGACACACTATTATTTCAATATTTTGAAGAAAACAACTAAACTTGTTGCAATCATATATTTTTTTAATTTCCTTGTGACATTGAAAGATGAAATTTGTCTTAACATGCTTAAGACTTGTCTTCAGATTTAAAATTGTTTTGTGAAACAGCAGTGACAAATCTTATGATTACCATAAGTCACATCTTAAGATCTCTCTTAGGACAAATCTTTCGATAGTTTTGTGAAACCCGGCCTTGGTATTGAAATGAACACGACATAACAGTGACGCACGTGGTTTCACGCCAATAAAAGGTACCAGTATTCGAATTATTACCTGTCGGTCTTTCACTAGCTTAAACAAATGGAAAAGAAGAAAATTCAAGGAGCGAAAATGAAACTCCTTTCATTATGACAGAGAAATTTAGATAAATTGCTTTTTTAAAAAAAAATAGGTTTTTTTAGCATTAATTGATTAGGAACAGTCTTCTCGTAACCTCAAGATTTACAATACAAAATTCGAATTTCCAGGTTCCATTTTGAAGGATTACATGTAAATCAACACACTCTCAATTACTTATCTATATTCATGTGCAATATAAAGTGATTTTTTAAAACCATGTATTGCTTATTTTAATGGGTAGAGTAATTTAAGCGGGATTTACAATGCCGCAATTATTTTTTTTTTCTTTTAGATAATATGTTTGATATTTAAAGGTATCTTGAAACATCGTGATTGAAGAAGGGTCGAATCAAATATTTGATAAAATGCACATTTCTTTGGTTTCAACGAAATTTTCAACTCTTAACAAAATATAATTTATGCATTATAAGATTAAACTAGTGCTAATTGTAACGGGAACCGTTACAGATGTTCCCCAAACGGCTCCCCAATCCTTTATGATGCCCCATTCCCTACAAGCTTCAATAAATTAGACAATATTTTTGTAATATAGATGGACACTTTATTTTTAAGGGTATTTCATTTGAAAACTACTCCGATATTGCCATATGGGTATTAGCCAATCAAATTTCAGCGCATGTGCTTGCACATGTTTTCTACATTTTTCACATTAATTTTCTTATAATATCTCACAATACATACATTTCTGTTAAATATTAAAGAATCTCATTGAAAAATAAGAGAGATGTAACCCTTTAAGTATTAGCCAATCAGAATTCAGCATACGCGCATACATGGCCTTGCATTCAATTTTGATAGTATCATAACGTCGGAGCTCTATGTGCCTATCCATGTCGTAAATTTCATCCTGTTTTGTTGAAAACCAAGCGAGTTATAGACATTTAAAGTTTCAACCAATCAGATTGCAGCACACCTGCATGCGCGTGTTTTCAAGAATTTCCTACATAACATGTTGTAGCACCTTATAATATATACTTATATTCTAAAGTTCAGAGTATTTTGTCAAAAAAACAAGGAAATAATTGAGATTTTTGTATCAGCTAATCAGAGAAAAGCGTACGTGCATGCGCATGAGTTCACGCTAATTTGACCATGTTATCTTGTCTAGACTACTAATATATCTTTATATTTTGAGTTTCAAAGCAATTCATCAAGAAATATAAAAGTTACGGCTTCATCAAGTTTATCAGTCATTTCACTCATTGCACGCGCGCGCACGTGCATGCATGTGCGAGCAAAATGACCTTCGTTCCGAACACCTACACAACATGCCTATATTAACCCTAAAAAGGTTTCATGTCAATCGGATGAGTGGTTCTATGAGAACACTCCCGGACAAAAAAGTACCGGAGAAAAAAGTAGAAAAAAGAATAATAATAATATCTAGATACTCGTTGCGAGCAACGAGAGGTCTTCGGTCCGAATAACCATCCTTAACTGTGATATTCTTTGCACGTAAAATTACATTTATATCTGCTCGTTGTAAAGATACCTAAAAATTTTACATGGGTCTTTAAAAAGATTTTTTATTTATAAAAAAAAAAAAAAAATAATAAAAAGAGCACAGAATTCACAAAGAGAAAAACAAAGTTCAACATCATTGATAAAGATGAAAACGTAAATTTAAGCAAAAAATTCAGATAGAATCGGGATTAAACCAAGATCGGCTGCCCGAAAAGAGCTAGTTCACTTTATGCATAAAATGGCCCTGTAGATATACCAATTTATTGACTAACACTTTATGTTCCATTTTAAACAATGAGATAAAGTAGGGACTTAGTGTTTTCATTTCCTATTAAAAAATTTCTCCTTATAGCCAAGGTCTTGGAAAACAGGGCTCATGAAATTGCAATGTTCTTGAATTTTAATGAAAATAAGTATATTTGAGTACTTTCACAGAAGAGAAATACTATGAGCACACCCTCTGATTTAAAAAAAATAAAACAGGTTTTGTAATCCTCAGAAATAGTTCTATCATTTTATCGTTGCATATTTAAGATCAGAGGTTACGCTCTAAAATAAAATATCGAAAAATCGCTTTAAAAATTGGCTATTTTGTAGAATTTTTTTTTATGATATGAGGAAAATGACGCATTTCATGACGTCATAATGCATTTGCTAGCCAGAAAATTACGTCATTTTTGATAGATACGCATTCATCAAAGCTCTAAACGATATTTAATGCATTGTCAACTAAAGCCAAGCAGTTTCAATTTCTGTGAAATTCACAGGGCCAAAAAAGACCCTAAGTGAACCTTGTTCTTTAATATTGAAACCACTACACTATCGCAATGTACCAGCCATCACCGATGTTTACCTTGCACTCATTCCCTGAAGTAACGAGTGTCAGGCAGGTTAATCTTTTTTTCTTATAGTGTGGAATTATAGGATGAAAACTAGCCAGCTAAATTTTGTGCAAGTACTAGTAGATTTACATCGGATTTGTTACTTGAGTTTTAACAATAACTGATAGCAGAGAAAATAATCTGTTACTGATGAAAACTAAAAAAAACTATTGTGTTTACTTCCTTTATTCTTTATGCATTCAACTTTCTATTCTATGGAATTCCAAATTCAGACATGTCCGTGTAATCTTTTTCTGTACTTCTACACTACTGCATCAGACCATTTGTGAAAGGCGGGTCAAGATAATTATTTTGCGCCAAACGTCACGAGTAAATCTTCGCACCTTTTCTTTGGAATGTGTCTTCAATTGAGAAAGTGTACATAATAGCTTCAATGAAATTTTAAAAAAATATGTTGCTATAGCCTGATTTTCTAGCCTAAGAATGTATATTTATCACACTGTACTTATAACATACCGTATACGGACAAGTAACATAAATGCAGCGCTAAGTTTTCTTACACATTTTATATTCCTCTTTACCCCCAAAGTGGATTATTCCAATTAGTAACACATTAATGAAAAAACTGGAATGTTTCACAACAAAACACGTCTCGCC